AGGTTTAATTCTTAATTTTTACATTAAAAAATAAATAAATAAAAAGGGATGGTGGTCCTAGCCACGAGAAAGTGAAAAGGGAATGGTGGTCCTGCTGGTGGGATTTTTCAAGCAACCTTAGTAAACAAGTTCTAAATTTCCACAATTAATGTACATGGTTTTCTCATCTCCTGGCGAATCATGTGTGACTCTTTTAGGCAAGTTTCACACACAACTCAATTGAGAAAAAACCTACTAAACAATGATACTTAAACCACCATGCAACAAGGAAGCTTAAATGAATGCTTCAACTTTTCTGCTTTTATTCTTGCTGTGCCTGCGTGGCATGATACATTGATTATTGGTTGTATTTACATTTGTATTGGAATTACAAGTCTTTGTAGAAAGTAGCGTACTGGAAATCTTCAACTGGCTTGGAACCTCGTTGTAGAGATAGAAACAGAGCCAGCAGAGTCAGGGTGATGAAAGCTACAGAAATGAGTCGAATGTTGATAGTCCTTGATGAAAACATACTGAGCAGGCATGTGGATGACGACTCTGTCTTTGGAGATCTATTTTTCTCTATGGAGTATTCATCTAAACCTGATTTTTCCTTTATCAATTTGATTCTTCGGTTTGCTGTACCTTGGACAGGAAGAACATATGATGGCATTTCTTCTGATTTCTGCTGAGAAGTACCAGCAATCCCAGGAAGGAAGTCAGGTGTGTCTGTCAATGAAGTTTCATCCAGCTTGATTATGTCATCTTTTAGTATCTCAGCAAAAAAATCATCTTCATCATCCGAATCCTGGAATTTAAGCATAATATGGGATATGAGTTGCTGATATTCTGACTCACGAAGTGGATGAATCAAATCTAACAAATTTAGGATACAGTAGTTGTCAAAGGAACAAACCTTCTGCTGGCTACAAGATTCGGCCGGTGTAAATTCAGATGTTGAATCATTCTGTTCTATAGAATGATCCCCTTCATAAATGCCAGTCTGCTCTAGCAGCTCTGTACCACCTTCTGATGCAGCTTGGTTACTGTCATGCATGATTGACAGTTGCCTTCGATTTTGAATCCTCCTATCTGAATTATTAGTTGGGTGGAACTCAGCATTCTTCCTAAGGCGGCAAATGACCAGGGAATCCTGTAGATTCAGAAGACCAAAAAGGTAAAATGCTTCATCATCCCTCTCAATTCTCTATAGAAGAAAATAACATATTTGAAAGTCCAGTCATCATCTGTTAGTTAGAAGTGGCACCCTAAAATGCATATTTATACTGATCAAATTATCCATCAGACATGGAAATATAAAATTTTTCAACATCTGCAACCAAAAGCAATATGGTAAGAAACAAATTGGAATCATTCAGTAATATCATCCACAGAGAAAAGGGATTATTAACAAGGAGTCTTGAGCTCAGACATGGTAATTTGCAAATACATAAGGTACTCCATTAAGACGTTTTGAGTGTTCTATTCTATAGTAATAACACAAATCACCTGGGATTGTCCATCCATGCAGTACTCATGCATGATCCACTCTGTCCTTTCCCCTTTTGGTGCACGGCCTAGGTGAAACACAAGGGTTCTCTTTGTACCAATCACATTGGAGCCAGACTTCACAGTACGTTCCTTTCCAGTGGCTTTCCAATAACCAAGTACAGTTGCCCTCCTACTTTGTGAACCATTTGGATATTTCCTTCCACGAGCACAAAAGAAGAACCATTCATTTTCTGAATTAATGATGGATTTGGCTGGTTACAGAAGAAAACAGCACTAATCAGTCAACAAAATCCTGGGAACAAAATCAGTAACATAATTAAAGACTCTAAATTGCATGCCCTATTGGCCTGTCAAAAGAACCTGCCAGAAGACACACTGCAGAATTGCAGGAGACAATAAGAATCATGGTACCCAAAAAAGGTTTCTCTCCAGTACAAGCAAACCAACAAATAAATTTCAAATTGAACCCCCAGTCAGCCTCTCTCTTAGAAAAAAGAGAATCAAGGTCATAATATTAATTGCAATTTGCAAGGATTTAAATTTACCTTCAATATTTAAACAAGATTCCTAATTCTGAGCTAGGAAAGCATGAAAAACTTAATAGCTGGAAGCCTCTGCAAGCTTCTTTGAATATAATAAGATTTAAAGATTCCATTTTTTCAATACATCTTCAGTTTAGCAGAACAAAATCAACAATAGGATTAAACAGTTGTTTTCCAGGGGTGCCTATCAACGTACAACGCTACAACGATTTACCTCAGCTTGAATTCTGCGGAAAAACAAGCCAGAGGACATAAATAAATTCAAAGGCAGTAGCAGATAGAGACCAATAGAGACAAAATTTACAATAGCTGCATTCTTTTCCATCTTTCAAATAATCAAAAGATCAAACACTAAACAGCAATAACAGGGTGATTAGAATATTCATTTTGACAAATACAAGAACATTGGAAAGGTTACAAGAAAAGCCAAAGGTAAACAGAGGAATGGTCAGAATCAACCTGGTAAGTCCCAGGGCTCGTATTTACACATTTCGACCTCGGCAATAACCTCGCAACACTTGTCGTCGCCTTCCAGCTTCTTCTTCAAGTAAAAGGAAATCAATTCGACGTCGGTGGGTGAAAACCTAAACCCTGGAAACATGGAAGACGCCGCTAAGGACAACTGGGTCTCTGTCGAAACTCCCTCAGCCATGACCCAACAATATTGAAACCCCAAAAATCTTGTTTTTGGCAGCACCCTTTATTTATCTCTTCCCGTGGGCACAGAGTTATGCCTTTGGGTGGGAGAAAAGGAAGCAGAAGAGGGAGGGAAGGGGATAGGGTGAAGGTGTATGGAAGAGTTGTGCTTTGCTTTGCTTTGGGTTTGGGAAGGGAAGGGGTTTTAGCGTATGCGGGGTACTGATGTGTGGGCGTCAGTCTTTGAAGTTGGGCGGAGTGAACGGCACGCTAGACCGTCTGTACGGACGGCGGTGGTCACGTGCCCTCCTACGTGTCGCCGGGACCGCCGGATTACACTTCATTCGGTGCTTGTCCTCACACATTATTAGTTCATTAATTACAAAAGATACTCCGAGGTTCCACTTTTTCGTATGAAAGGGGATAACGTTATGGTCCTCATTGACGCTAATAATATTGTTAAGTTCACTAATTTAATCTCTAATTTTGTAAGTATATAGTTTTTTTAAATAATTAATTATGATACTTAAACATATTTATTTATAAATTAATTTTAATTT